TCAAGGGCCATTACTCTGTGTCAAAGGTTAAATACCCGAACAAGGCAACTTTATGCGCATCTCCTTTTGGTATTGATGGTTCCCATAAAGTTTCATTCAATTCCATCCAGCAGTAGCAAAGAAATAGCGCAGAAACAAAATTTGGACGGACAGATGGACAAAATTAAGGAAGGGGGGCGGGGCAGACCAAGCCAAAACAATATCCTCCTCCAAATTCCATCAGTAAGGGATAATAAAGCACAGTTGCCTGAGAAAAAGTCATAAAGTGTAATCCACAGTGACACTGGAAAAAGGCACAGCAAGTTTTACTTACTTTCATTCAGCTTTGTATAAAGTATTAGGTGTGTATCGGTTCCTTCCATCTACCATATATGTAGATGCATGCCACCTTAGCCTTGTTACCAAGTTACAAAGATCAAATCTGACTAGCTGACAATTCATGAATAAAGACATAAATATGCCTAGTGTACAACATAATCTGGGATATGCTATATAGTTTGCTGTCACCTAATATTATAGTCAAGAAAAAACTTCTACAGAACATATACGCTGAGTTTTTCAGAAGAGGGTGGTTGTTGAGCCTGCAAAACTGCCATAGTATCAAACTCAATAGTTTCAAAGACAAGTTAATTATTTAAAATGTACATTTGATTTAGCCATATTGTCTCAACTAAGTATAAGAAGCATTTTTAATAGGTTATCAGCTCCATCAGACAGTTCCAATGTAAATTTTTGAAAAGTAATTCACCCATGTCAAACCACATCAAACTCTTGTGAACATCTGCTGATGTCCTTGCACATCATATTCCCAAAATTTACCAGTTAAGTTGGCATGCCAGATATTCCAAATGGGTCAATAAAAGTGCCTTAAGTTAACCACAACTCACTGTAATGGCATGCTAAGTTTATGGAATGAATATTAGTGTCATGTGGGATAATGATGTGGAGTCATAATTATATCCTTTAAAGATGTAAAAAAGAAATTCTGTTGTAAGATGTCTAGAAAGAGCTGGAGAAGCAAGTATACCATACACACCCAATCACATGCCGCCTCGAAAATATCTTCAGTAACCTTCAAAAACTTAGTCATCCAAACAAAATTCAAGTTTCAGTTTAAAAAGTTTATCAGTTTTTGTTAACAAAGGCTACCCTAAAAAAGCTCTTCAAAAATCTCAGAAAGAGGTGATTGTTTTCATTTTTAAATAATCAAGAAGTCTTATGCCAAAATATACAAAGCAGCAATTATTGCCTTTATTCACAATCACTTGCTTCTTGACATGTTTTAAAGACAAAGGAAAATTGTTCAAATTGTTTTAGTTGGACATTTTGTGAGACCCAGATTATCATGTTCTACAATAGACTGACACATGGATACAGATTTAATGAATTTCCAGTTAATTATGCACTGTTAACAGCTTACTCCAAGCAGAATTCTGTTACCAAGAATGCATTTCTGGTCCTCATAAAAAACTATTCTTGTCTATGGAATACAATCATGCAACTTGTATATCTAAAATAGTATAAAAAAACATTCATTATGAGTACCATATGACAAATCATATTTCTTCAAAAAATAAAGGGCCTGCTTTGGAAATATAAAGTATTATCATGCTCAGATATTCAAAAGGAATTATTTCATGAAAATGGCATTCCTTTATCAAAAAATAATAAGAAAAAATTCAAAAAAAAAACTTCGAAAATACTTTGTATATAATTCTGATTATAAATGTACCCAGGACAACTGAAGCTTACACAAATAACAATGTGTTTCTACAGCATAGATAGTTACCTACATGTGTGCATAAATTTGATTATTGCATTAGTATGGTACTATATTTATAGATTCAAATGTTATTACTAAAGAAATAGTATGAAGTTACACACTATGATGACTTTTTATTTAAATTACTATAAGCGTAGCCGTTGAACGTCTGAAGGTACCATGTACGCCCTTTTCTCATGCATACTTCTTTGAAAACAGTCTATAAATGCTGGGTTGGTGTCATTAACAATTTTTGTTATTATAAATTCATTATATGTACAAATTGCTGACTGGATATATGGGAGAATATAAAATTGCTGACATGAACATAACCCAGAGCTTGTGCAATGGATAATATTTATATCATTCAGGCTATATTCTCCCATATATATCCCATCAGACTTGTTTAACTACAAGTATATACATGTAAATGCTATACCTGAAATGCTCAAAATAGACAATGTACAAGGAAAATGTTTTTTTACAATGTAGTTTTTCAGCATTGTAAACAAATACATTTGAATTGACCAAATATATAACTTGTGGGAAAATGTATAATACCCATGAACAAGGCTAAAAACGTTTGTATTACAGCAATGTTTTCTTCATTTAATCACTTATTAGATTTCAAGAGACAACCAAATGAAATATATAATAAAATTTGCACAAAACATTTTAATGGGTCCTAAAATTTAGAAACCTAATAAGTAACATAATTTACACTGAAAAAAAACTTAAACAAAAACCAATGAAAATATGTTCAAATTGCAAATCAAAGTACTGAAGTACAGACAAGCTTGTTGGCAGTTTATGATCAATTTGCACATAAATTTGCATTCATTTGAAACAATTACATAAATTACATAATGTTTTATACAATGTTTCCAGTCTTGGAAATGAAAATATGTACTGAACTGTCCAAAGGGATTTTTTTTCTTGCTACTTAGACATGTTTTAATTATCAGTAACATTAATTTTGTGAACTATCATTTTCATCAAATGACCTTGACCTTTATGACCTTTGCCTTGACAAGGCTTGGCTTTTAATATTCATTATGCTATATTAGTTTTATGTTTTATTTTTAAATAAGTATGTCCATATAAAAATTTGATAATGAATTATATATAAAATTTCCACATTTGACATTCACATTTCAGGACATACATGTACAAAAATAGTGGAAGTGACCTTGATTGATGTTAAATTTCCGAATCTTAATCACTTGTACGCCAATTATTTTGGTATTGCTGAATGCTGTACACTTCAGTTATCACTTTGACATCTGTTTTGATGATAAGTTGTTAATAATTTTAACTTTTTTTTTGAAAATATCTAATTAAAATAACTTTTCAGCGAGATTTTTTGCAAATGACCTTGAAATGACCTTAACCTTGACTTTGAATTGATTGCTTTAATATGTTAGTTAATAGGACTTTATCATAGAAGTAATAAACATGCAATCATTAATTGATATATTTGTAGATAAGAAAACTGCATGTGATTTATAAAATCTCCTTCTATAAACAAATTGTGGCGGCCATCTTGGACGCCATCTTGGATTTCTCAGCCCGCACCACATAAAGAAAAATTATGCCACCATTTCCTGATATAAGATGCATTTGCGGTCATTTTGGTATATAACACAATTTGTTCTACTGTTATGAAAATTTCACTGAGATTCAGCACCAATTGTCACCGTACTAAAAAGCCTTTGGGTGAAAATTGGCCCCGCCCCAGGGGGTCATTGATTTTCCCTATATGCATATAGTAAAAACTTAAAAAATCTTCTTTTAAAGAACTCAAAGAGCTAGAGTTTAGATAGTAAGCATGAAACATCTTCTAGTGAATGTCTACAAAGTTTGTTCAAATAAAAGCCCTGGGGTCAAAATTGGCCCCGCCCGGGGGTCATTGATTTTCCTTATATGTGTATAGCAAAAACTTAAAAATCTTCTTTGAAAAAACCCAAAGAGCTAGAGCTTAGATATTTAGCATGAAACATCTTCAAGTAAGTGTCTACAAAGTTTGTTCAAATAAAAGCCCTGGGGTCAAAACTGGCCCCGCCCCAGGGGTGTCATTGTTTTTAACTATATGTGTATAGTAAAAACTTAAAAAATCTTCTTTGAAAAAACCCAATGAGCTAGAGCTTAGATGTTTAGCATGAAACATCTTCTTATGGCTGTCTACCAAGTTTGTTCAAATAAAAGCCCTTGGGTTAAAATTGGCCCTGACGGGGGGAGGGGGGAGCTATACATGTATACAGGTGAGCGACCTCAGGGCTATCGTGGCCCTCTTGTTTGTTTATTAAGCACATGGAATTTCAGGAATAAATAATCAGGGTGTTCACTAGCCATGAAATGCTTAGGGTCATTTTTACTAAGTTTTACAGACTACAAGGCCAAGTCACCATGATTTTAACAAAATTTGACCCTCCAGTTAAAAATCAGGCCTTTTGGAAAATTGAAGGGTCAAACGAACACCCTGAATAATCATAACAGCCGAAGAAGCTTGTTTCATAACTGCATGATCTGAGTGGAATAAATTAATAAATAGAACATTGAAAAAAAACTGCCAGTTAAGCAAAATCAATATGAACAAATTATAGCAATTGTGTAATTTTATTTTTAAATAGATAATTAAGGATTATGGACCCTAATGGTCACAGATAAGAATAAGTTTTTTCATATTCTTAAATCCTTTTTTTCTTACCTAGATAGTATAATACATTTATTTTTCAAATATTAGAAAATTTCACCATCAGATTTTTTTTATTATTAATTTTTTAATTGCTACATGCCATTTTTGAATTTTTGCTCAAATTTCAATCACCCTGGCATATTTACAGGAATTATTTTTGCATATAATTATATGAAAGATGTTTTTTGTAAAAATGATCTATGTCTTTGTTTTTAATTTGGACCTATACATTGTACAGAGTGACTGTATGTAACAAGTATTTATAGAATTGCAAAGGAGACCATGCAGTCTATGCATCCATTTTCAATAAGAATTTCTCAGCTTTTATTGTTAACTTGTAATTGGAAAAGTTGTGATTGGTCAATTTCCCATAATTTTGCAGTACAAATTTTTTTAAACCATAGTAGGTACTCCTCTTAACGTAAAGCTCACTTTATGAGTAGGCACTCTTCTAGTTTGATAATAATTATGTATGTCATAATAGTTTAAATGATGCATTTCTATTTATATAACATAATTATACAAAAATACTTTCTTTTTAAGGTATTGGTGCTGTGAAACAACTGGCACATACATTGATCAGGTATTTCTATTGTATATATTTATTTTGTGAAGTTAAAGCATCAAATTCATGCTGTTATCAACCTTACAATGTCTGTGTTTAAAACCATTTAAAAAATTGCAGTCTGCTCAATTTGTTGCGGTTAAAAGTCATAACATGACTTTATAATATTAATGTCATGTGATAAATCATGGAATCATTCCATTTCTTACAGATTTACATTAATAATTAAGCTTGTCCCAGACATATCCTGTTTGCTTTATCTTGATGTGTGTTTTTGTAATATTAGTCCACATGAATTGGCCACATATATGTTAGAACTAATACACATCTATCAGTGTCTTTGCTTTTATCCAAAAAACAGGGGAGATTTATAACATTTCTGCATCATCTAATCATGGTCTGCATCATCTAATCATGGTCTGCACCATCTGATCATGGTCTGCACCATCTGATCATGGTCTGCATTGTCTGATCATGGTCTGCACCGTCTGATCATGGTCTGCATCATCTAATCATGGTCTGCACATTCTGATCATGGTCTGCACCGTCTGATCATGGTTTGCACCGTCTGATCATGGTCTGCACCGTCCGGTCATGGTCTGCACCGTCTGATCATGGTCTGCACCGTCTGATCATGGTCTGTACTGTCTGATCATGGTCTGCACCGTCTGATCATGGTCTGCACAGTCTGATCATGGTCTGCACCATCTGATCATGGTCTGCACCATCTGATCATGGTCTGCATTGTCTGATCATGGTCTGCACCGTCCGGTCATGGGTCTGCACCATCTGATCATGGTCTGCACAGTCTGGTCATGGTCTGCACCATCTGATCATGGTCTGCACCGTCTGATCATGGTTTGCACCGTCTGATCATGGTCTGCACCATCCGGTCATGGTCTGTACCGTCTGATCATGGTCTGTACTGTCTGGTCATGGTCTGCACCGTCTGATCATGGTTTGCACCGTCTGATCATGGTCTGCACCATCTGATCATGGTCTGCTGCCATCTGATCATGGTCTGCATCATCTGATAATGGTCTGCACCATCTGATCATGGTCTGCACCGTCCGGTCATGGTCTGCACCGTCTGATCATGGTCTGTACTGTCTGGTCATGGTCTGCACCATCTGCTCATGGTCTGCACCATCTGATCATGGTCTGCACCATCTGATCATGGTCTGCACCATCTGATCATGGTCTGCTGCCATCTGATCATGGTCTGCATCATCTGATAATGGTCTGCACAATCTGATCATGGTCTGCACTGTTTGCTGTTCAGTCATATTTGAAATTTCCCTGAAAATAATGAGTGTTTTTTTTTAAGATGTTCATCTTAGTATGGATTGAGATTGAAAGTTTTTTTTGAAATAACATTTTACTGCAATTATTATACTAGTATTATACTAGCAAGTGATAACAGTTTGTAGTAAACAGAAAATGAAATACCCATAGCCTGTTGGAACTTCAGAATGTTATTTTAAAAAAAACGTGATTATTTTCCAAAGATATTACTAGATAATTTTTGATCAAGCAATCACATTCAAGTTTGACAGAAAGGAGAAAAAATGTTGGTGAAATTCTGGTACAAATATTCTAACTGAAAATGCTTTTGAGAGCCTAATCTCTTATAATAAATAAGTAATTTTGTCAGACCTAGGCCCTTAAATTTCTTATAACAATATTGGTATGTGATTATTTTCTCTATTCTAGATGCAACAGAGTGGCTACATGTATTGTTGTGCAGCATCGTAACTTTCATGTAACACCATGTAAGCAGGATAAGTTATATGACCCAGAGGATGCATTCGGAAGTAGGGTTTTCAAAAAGAAGGGCTGGTTATCTTATAATGATGTTGTTTATCCACCAACAAAGGAAGGAGAAGCTCCCAGACCAGCTGTAAGAAAATTACATTTCTTTTATTAGTCCCCTACCGGTTTACCGGAGGGGACTTTAGGTTTAACCTCCGTCCGTCTGTCCGTCTGTCCGTCCGTCTGTCCGTCAGTCCGTCCGTCCACAAAACTGGATCCTGCGATAACTTGAAAAGTACTGAAAATATTTTTATGAAACTTGGTATATGGATAGATGGCAGTATGGAGATTATGCACGTCTTTTTCTTTTCTTCTTATGTTGAAAATTCTGGTTGCTATGGCAACAAATAGGCTGAAAATATGGCAAATTTTACACATAAACTGGATCCAGTAATAACGCAAAAAGTACTGGAAATATTTTTATGAAACTTGACATATGGGTAGATGGCAGTCTTGGGATTATGCACTTCTTTTTCTTTTCTTCCTATTTTGAAAATTCTGGTTGCTATGGCAACAAATAGGCTGAAAATATGGCAAATTTTACACATAAACTGGATCCAGTGATAAAGCAAAAAGTACTGGAAATATTTTTATGAAACTTGACATATGGGTAGATGGCAGTTTTGAGATTATGCACGTCTTTTTCTTTCCTTCCTATGTTGAAAATTCTGGTTGCTATGGCAACAAATAGGCTGAAAATATGGCAAATTTTACACATAAAATGGATCCAGTGATAAAGCAAAAAGTACTGGAAATATTTTTATGAAACTTGACATATGGGTAGATGGCAGTCTTGGGATTATGCACGTCTTTTTCTTTTCTTCCTATGTTGAAAATTCTGGTTGCTATGGCAACAAATAGGCTGAAAATATGGCAAATTTTACACATAAACTGGATCCAGTGATAAAGCAAAAAGTACTGGAAATATTTTTATAAAACTTGACATATGGGTAGATAGCAGTCTTGAGATTATGCATGTCTTATCTGTTCTTCCTATTTTGAAAAAATATCAGTTGCCTTGGCAACAAATAGGCTTAAAACATGGCAAATATAACAATATTTGTGATTAGTCAAAAAGAGCTGAAAATTTTTATGAAATGCATCTTTAATTCAAGAGTCATCTCCTCTTTAAGAATTTTGCTTTAAAATGTTATATTTTGGTGACGGGGATGTTTCAAAAATTAACTTTAGAGTGTCCTTCAGTCCGTCTGTCTGTCTGTTCATAAAAACTGTTTCCTGTGATCACTTTTAAAGAACTTTTCCAACAAGTTTACTTAAAATAGAGAAAATTGAAACATTAGTGAATGGCCAATGGCCCTTCAGAATGTTGATGGGGTTCTAACCGGTAGGGGACTTATGGATTGCTTGCAATACTATGATAATTGCTTGTTTTTTTTTTTTTTAAATGTCAGGCATATCAGTAAGCTCTAAATAAATTGAGCATCCACTTTCTAACCAGAGAGTCATCATAGGCCAAGTGTTTAAAGTCTTTTTACCTTAAAAAATGCATGGAGGGACACCTAATGTCTTCCTTCACCAATTGTGCTTTACTGTGCTAGTGCGCTAAAGCACCCCCACCCCTCCCATCCCTTCATTGACATCATAGTGTGTAGAAGAAGATAATGCATTTTTTTCAGGCCACTGTATTACACACTCTTCTATTCCATTGATAGGTGGTTGCATAGGGTGCTTGGATTACAAATATCAGGTTTATGACAAAGATGTTAATATAATGGCAGATAAAAGGCACCTATCTAGGAACAGATAACTTTGAAACCTCTTATTACTATTAATAGCACTGGCTTGACTTTTGTATTAATTTTTAATGCTGGTTTGATCCAAAGGTGAGGCAAAATTTAATTTCTTCATGACAATTTGTTTCTCACCGCTGATTCCGAAATTATATGCGATAATCATAAGTAGTTTTGCTCACTTGTGCAAAAAATCGGTAATTACTTGTTAGTTGTCCAGGAAACACAGGTTTGGTAAGCCAATCACCAAGAAATGTCCAAAAATGTGTTACAATCAATGTTAAAACCATACAAAGAAATTGTGGAATGACAGTGTTTATTGATACTTTGGTCACGTAAGATGATTTCTCCATGCTCCTGAAAGACATTTTAGGTGTACTGCAGTTTTTTAAATAGGTAATGAAAGGAAGTTTAATCAAGTGCAGATATGTTTTCTAAATTTTGCACAAGTAAAATGAATTTGCAGGTAAAAGTTTGTTAAAGTTTGTCACAAAAATACATGTGTGTTTGAAATGTTTCATTACTCCCAGGTTTTCAGAATTTTGTCGTTACTGAAAGAGTGAAACAAATACAAAACTAATGTACATAGATAAGCACCTGTTTCACAATTCATAGAGGGTATTTGTTTGTTTTGCATGTAAGATTGAAATATTTTCACTGAGTGAACACCAGCTGCAATATTTTCACAGTTGCATAGCCACGATAGCTAGTGTTCATGAATGAAATATATTTAAATCTTATATAAAAAAACAACAAATTTTGCCATGTCATGTTGCGCATTCTCCATTATGACATCATGACGTCACATCATCAATCTTGAAATATAGGTCTGTTAAATTTCTCTAATTTTGTTACATTTTTATATCATCTGATATATTACAGTAAAACACTGGAAAGCATGAAATAAATATTATTGTTTGATGGCAATGGTTGAAATGGTAATGTCATTATATTTGGTGTACAATATTTCAGGAGATCTGTCATCAGAGAGACAGCATTATGATGAGTTCAAAGAATTTCTGGTACGCTGCTGTTCTGGTAAGTACATTTTACAAAGCCTGTTATCCTATTTGATTTGTCAGAGCTAAAATTTAAGATTTGAAAACTCAAAGAAAATGTGTAAAAATTGGAAATTCCAGATGAAAGTGTGATGCATGTATTATTTGAAAGAAAATGAAATTTACAAATAAATAAATTAAAATGACAATGTATTCTTTGTTGATGATATAGTATAAGTAGCAGAAAAAAAAGAAGCTGACATTGTAAAAATTTGTATTTTAGGTAAGAGGTCTGTCAATTGATGAGGCAATCAAACAGTGTGACTTCAACAAAAAAGCTGCTTCCAAAATTGTTAAGGAGGTACAGTATCTTTAAGTTATAAAACTTCTGTTAAAAAAGTTTTATAGGGCAAGAAACTTCTGCAGCCGAGTGGTCTTTTAAGCAAAACCTTCTCATAAATGTTCATGAACAAAAACTCTTTGGGTTTTGATCCTGTTGCTCTTATTATGAAGCCACCTAGGTGTAGAACTTTTGGTAATTCTTTTGTAAGAAAAACCTCTTGAAGTAGTGGTCATGGAAAACAGTTGAGTTTTGCTCTTGTAGGGTAAAAAATAATGTAGGTAAAGCTGTTGTATGAAATCAACTTGGGCAATTTTAGTTTGTATAATGTCCATATAAGAAAACGGCCATGGCGATGTTCTTGAACAAAACACTCTTGGCTATGCTGTTGTAAGTCAACACTTTAGGCAGTTTGTATCAAAACACCTTGAGTAATTTTGGTAATGGTCTTATAATTAAGCAAACTTGGCAATCTGGGAAAAGCTCTTGTAAGAACATCCCGGGACAAATTGCTCTTGTACAAAATAACTTTGTTAGGAAAAACAAAACTTGATGCAATGCATATTTAAAAAAGAAAAACTTGATGCAATGCATTTTTAAAAAAGAAATCACATGACAAAAGGAGAGATTCAGTCTGGACTATGCTGTTGGTCAGAAACAATGTGGGAGATGCTCTTGTAAGAAAAGACTAAGTTTTTATTGTTCCTTCATTTTTAGCTCACCTGTCACAAAGTGACAGGGTGAGCTTTTGTGATCGCTTTTCATCCGGCGTCCGTCCGTCCGTCGTCCGTCCGTCCGTAAACTTTTGCTTTAAATGACATCTCCTCATAAACCACTGAGCCAATTTCATCCAAACTTCACAGAAATGTTCCTTTGGTGGTCACCTTTGAAAATTGTTCAAAGAATTTAATTCCATGCAGAACTATGGTTGCCATGGCAACCGAAAGAAAAATCTTTAAATATCTTCTTTAAAAGAACCCAAGGAGCTAGAGCTAAGATATTTGGCATGAAACATCTTCTAGTGAGTGTCTACCAAGTTTGTTCAAATAAAAGCCCTGGGGTCAAAATTGGCCCCGCCCCGGGGGGTCATTAATTTTTCCCTATATGCATATAGTAAAAACTTAAAAAATCTTCTTTTAAAGAACCGTAAGAGCTAGAGCTTAGATATTTGGCATAAAACATCTTCTAGTGAATGTCTACCAAGTTTGTTCAAATAAAAGCCCTGGGGTCAAAATTGGCCCTGCCCCAGGGGGTCATTGATTTTCCCTATATGCATATAGTAAAAACTTAAAAAAAATTCTTTTAAAGAACCCAAAGAGCTAGAGCTAAGATATTAAGCATGAAACACCTTCTAGTGAGCTAGTGAGTGTCTACCAAGTTTGTTTAAATTAAAGCCCTGGGGTCAAAATTGGCCCTGCCCCGGGGGGTCATTGATTTTCCCTATATGCATATAGTAAAAACTTAAAAAATCTTCTTTTAAAGAACCATAAGAGCTAGAGCTTAGATATTTGGCATGAAACGCTTCTAGTGAATGTCTACCAAGTATGTTCAAATAAAAGCCCTGGGGTCAAAATTGATCCCGCCCCAGGGGGTCATAGATTTTCCCTATATGCATATAGTAAAAACTTAAAAAATCTTCTTTTACAGAACCCAAAGAGCTAGAGCTAAGATATTTAGCATGAAACATCTTCTAATGAGTGTCTACCAAGTTTGTTCAAATAAAAGCCCTGGGGTCAAAATTGGCCCCGCCCCCTGGGGTCATTGATTTTCCTTATATGCATATATTAAAAACTTAAAAAATCTTCTTTTAAAGAACTCAAAGAGCTAGAGCTAAGATATTTAGCATGAAACATGTTCTAATGGGTGTCTACCAAGTATGTTCAAATAAAAGCCCTGGGGTCAAAACTGGCCCCGCCCGGGGGGGGGGGAGTCATTGTTTTTCCTTATATGTGTATAGCAAAAACTTAAAATCTTCTTTGAAAAAACCCAAATAGCTAGAGTTTAGATATTAAGCATGAAACATCTTTAAGTAAATATGTACAAAGTTTGTTCAAATAAAAGCCCTCGGGTCAAAACTGGCCCTGCCCCAGGGGTGTCATTGTTTTATACTATATGTGTATAGTAAAAACTTTAAAAATCTTCTTTTAAAAAACCCAATGATCTAGAACTTAGATGTTTAGCATGAAACATCTTCTTATGGGTGTCTACCAAGTCTGTTCAAATAAACAAATAAAAGCCCTTGGGGTAAAAATTGACCCGGGGGTGGGGGGGGGCCTATATACAGGTGAGCGACCTCAGGGCCATCATGGCCCTCTTGTTAGTCATACTGTCACAATCAAACATATGCCAGTTATATTATATGAATGATGTATGTTAATTGTTATATCTCATCAATAAATGTTTATATTTCAGGTACTTTTAGAAGCTCAAGAAATGGCTGTAACTGATTTCAATGTAGAATTTAAATCCAACTTATGGATAGGTTATTACCTTTATTATATTTTGTTCCTTTTATTCAAGTAACCTTTTTGGCTCAATTTCTAACAATATACGGCTTATAACGCTTGAAAAATGGTTTCTGGACAATAACTAGAGTTAGAAATGAGATATTGCAATTAAACTTGGTGTATAGCAAGCTTGGTTGATAATGCATTTGGGCCCCTAGGGTCAAGGTCATTGTTACTAAAAATAGAAAATTTGTTTCTGGACAATAACTAGAGCTTGGAATGAGATATTATAATCAAACTTGGTGTATAACAACCTTATAAGATGACCTCAGTTGATATTGCATTTGGACCCCCTGGGGTTAAGGTCACTGTTACTAAAAATAGAAAAATGGAATGAAGTAAATTACCAGAACTGAGATGTTGTAAATGGTGGTAAGGTTGAACTCTCCAGCAAGTAGCTACATTGGCTACATTTTGTCTGCAAACAGCAACTATTTCAGCCCTTGTGACCTGAGAGACACATCTGTGCCAACTGCATATAGTTTGCCCTATTATAATTAGCAATTCTGTCAATACTGAAATTTTTACTTAAAAATGATAAATGGTTTAGTTCAGGCTGAAAGATAGAAGTCAAAATACTACTTTGTTTACATTTAGCTTCCTTTACGACACATAACTGCATGTCAATGGCTACTTCCTTCGGTTGATAAACATCTAACATGCTCTAAATCTACATTGTTTTATTGTATTCTAGGCTCATTCTTTACTTGTCAGACCATCAGGCTTTATATTATAAGCTGCTTTTGATCTATGATAATTTTAATGTTGTTACTTGACTTCAAACCACTTGCCTCTCATCACTGCGGGTTGGAATACTGACAGGGACTTTGGATTCTTACATGTGAGGAAGCTATCCAGTTAGCTTACAGAATGTCGGTGGTTCTACTAGGGTACCTGTTCGTGCCTGAAATGGTCTTCCTCCACCAGTCAAGCTGGAACGTCTCCATATGACCTATAATGTGTCATTGTAATGTCAAACCCAATTAAACAAACAAACAAATGTTGTTACTAGTTTAACACGTTGTATACTTATCTTTGGTGCATTATCTTTCAGCTGATTCATTCGTGGAAACGTTAACCCGGGAAAAGCTTGGAATGAGGCGTCGGGCGAGGGGTCAGCCATCTGTAATTACTCAGCCCGTCTCAACATACTGCGTGAGATTGCGGGAAGGACAACCACCTAAAGAATACTATGCCAAAGATCCCCCCGGAAACGTAAAATTAGAAGAATATATTAGGGAACAGAGAAAGCGAAGGATTATACATTCTTTGTGAATGATATTGTTTAATGTGTTCAGAGTTTAATAAAATTTTGTATGATTTCAGAATGTTGTTTATCTGTGTAACTACGTATGAATGCTGAATAGAGAGATTTATTGTACTCACTGTGGCGTGTGCCCCTCACCGCTGTGGGTTCGAATCTCAACAGGGACTTTGGATTCTTTCATGTGAGGAAGCTAACCAGATAGCTTACGGAACGTCGGTGGTTCTAATCAGGTGCCTGTTCGTGTCTGAAATAATGCACAGAGTCGGAAGGGCACCTGAGGTCTTCCTCCACCAGTAAAGCTGGAACGTCGCGATATGACCTATACTGTGTCGATGTGACATAAAACCCAAAACAAAGGCACATAATTTTAACATGGATATTGACAGAATTATTGCCTTTGAACTAAGAAAAGTCTACATTATCGAGGCTCTTGCTGTGCGAATCGTTATCAACAGCTCTTGTTTTAGACCTACATATAACATTTTAAAGCATAAACAAATAATGACTGCTTCCTGTGTGTTCTTACCAGAAATCCCACCATTGTGTATTAAGGATACAGGTATCCTGGTAGGATCCATAGCAATGACACTCTTTTGTCCATGAAGTTTTGTCTATATGAAACGTTCTTCTGGCATTGTTTTACTGCTGGATCACGGTTAATAAAACTGAGAAACGATGACTATTTGCAAATCTGTTAATGAATAAAAGATGTAATGGTATTTCATGAATTTTGTAAATCTTATAGTTCTAGGTTATGAAAAGCTGTATTTTAATGTATTTAGAATCCAAAATTGAGTGCAATAACGCTAGTGCCTAATAGACACTAAGAAAGATAACCATGTATAGCATTATCAGACCAGTGCGAGTTGTTCCCCTTGAAATACCGATTTATGTTTAAAGTGACATTATGCCCATCCAAGGGTATATAGTGAGTGAACGGGTGAAAGTCAAAATATGTTTTCATTTTGCCATAATTCCTTTTAATTTAATAATTAAGTTGGCATAAACAATGAATAACTCACAGATCCAAATAAAATTTCTGTAAATATCCATTAGAATTTACCTATAACGCTTAGTTTATAAAAAGAGTGGGGCAGTCTTTTTAAATTTTAGACAGATTTATAATTTTACCCTAAACATTTTCCAATAACAACTGTTGGTCAATCACCATTTTGACAGTGAATCTTTTTAAATATGAAGTTAACTTAGCTCAACTTGACCATGAAAATATGAGCATAATGTCATTAACATGCGAATTATAGATTCACACTTTTAATACGATTCTATCTTTTTTGTCTGCGTTTCATGCCGTTTTTAACACATATTCAGTATTTCTCAAAAGACTGTCCACCCAACCGGCTGAAAGTTGAAATCGTGAATTCGTGAAGTTAAAGTCGTGAATTCGTGAAGTTGAAATCATGAATTCACGACGTTGAATTCGTGAAGTTAAAATCGTGAATTCATGAAGTTGAAATCGTGAATTCGTGAAGTTGAAATCGTGAATTCATGAAATTGAAATCGTGAATTCATTAAGTTGAAATCGTGAATTCTTGAAGTTGAAATCGTGAAATCACGAAGTTGAATTCGTGAAGTTGAAATCGTGAATTCATGAAGTTGAAATCGTGAATTCGTGAAGTTGAAATCGTGAATTCATGAAGTTGAAATCGTGAAGTTGAAGTCGTGAATTCATGAAGCTGAATTGTGAATTCGTGAATTCCGTAATTTGAAAACGGGAATGCACGAAGTTTAAATTGTGAATTCATGAAGATGAAATACTGAATTCATGAAGTTGAAATGGCCCTACCGGTCTTTCGTAGAATGGTGATGACGTTTCAACTTCTTGAATTCTCGGTTTCATCTTCACGCATTCACAATTTCAATTTTACGAATTCACGATTTCAACATACAGAAGTCACGAATTCACTATTTCAACTCCATATATTCATGATTTCAACTTCACGAATTCACGTTTTGTACTTCACAACTTTAAATTCGTGAAGATGAAATCTTGAATTCGTGAAGTTGAAATCGTGAAGTTCAAAACATGAAGGGATTCATGAAGTTGAATTCATGAAGTTGAAATCATGAATTAGTGAAATTGAAATCGTGAATTCGTGAAATTCAAAAAGGAATTCGCGAAGTTGAATTTGTGAAGTTGAAATTGTGAAGTTGTAATCGTGAATTTGTGAAGATTAAATCGTGAACTTGTGAAGTTGAAATCGTGAATTCACGAAGTTGATATGATGAAATCAGGGATTTATGAAGTTGACATGTCCCCATCGGTCTTTCATACTAATTGCACATGATTTCCGAATCAGTGATAAGAGACAAAAAACCATTAGACACAACTGTCGAGAGGAATTTCTTTTGTCAGCCACATTTAAAATTATATCTGTTTTTTTTTACCTTACGCGAATCTGTATCACCAAGTGCTTCCTTTCTGAAAGTAAATTTATCATCATCATCATCATCATCATCATCATCACCATCATCATCATGATTATTATTATTATTACATGTGTATTATTATTATTATCATCATCATCATCATCATCATCATCATCATCATCATCATCATCATTATAATTATCATCATTATTATCATCATCATTATTATTATTATAGAGGAGAAGTAGGATAATTTCTTCCAGCTTCAGATTAATATTTAAAAAAAATAAAGAAGTGATCAGCGCAATTGATAGAAACAGCGCTGCTTCGTGACAAATGCACATAGTCTGATTATATCGGGACAAAGACCTTGTATGAAGTATTTGAACTGTTTGCAAAAAAATTGGGCACACAGTGGAAAAAACATTCCTATCCAACAGTAAGGCCAAACCATGGGTTTATCAGATATGGCCGCGCTATCGTGTTACCTAAGTGTGAAATCAATCAGTATTCAAATACTGTACAATTCTTTTTTTTTGTGTGTTAGTTAAGAACACTTAATTTACCATTCATAAGATATCGAGTTTAACCAACGTAAAGAACATGTAACAAAATATTTCTGATATACAAAAAGGTTCACGGTAATCCCACTGATTAATCATTGAAAAAAATTGTAACTTAAAATATTTTAAGTTTAAAGCAACACTTCTCCAGATATATGTTTATTTATTTATTTATTAAATTGTATTTATTTATTTATTTATCTATTTAGTTTTAATTTATTTATTTAATGAAAATTTAGAAATTATTCTCTGGTGTAAATATAGGATTTTTTACCAGAGGGGAGTGGGGTCAATTTTTTTTCAAGGGGTTATGCATTTTCCAGAGGGGGTTTGACATTTTACTAGTTTTCAAGGTGGGGGCGTCACGGATCAAATTTATGCTTTACTTCAAACTATCTTAAGGTATTTTTCAATTCCTTAACGCCAGGCATAAAAAAATGTGCTGACAATTATTATTTTTGATAATCGGTGATGGTGTTGGTAGTTTTCACTCCAGATCACGGCAGTAAGCCACACTGAATTTACCAGAATTTACCAGAGCACAGTTCAGCCACCACATCGTTTCTTGGGAAGCTGTCAAGCAGTTTATCAATATTAGTTGTCTTCACTTTCGCAAGGATTTGATAACTTCTGTACATACAAGAGCAGAGGAATAGTGCGAATGACCGTAGAAAGGTTTTTATGATCAGTCACAACGAAAGTTACCTGCACTGTCCGGGACTCGAACCCGAATCGCCCAATTCACAGCCCAACGCTGTCTGAGCTTACCGGGCCGCTATTCTTGATACTCGCCTAGCTTAAATTCATTTTTACTATGCCACATATCACATAAAAAAGCTTGATATCTTAAATATAACCGTCTCTCATTGAAGTGTTTTAGGACTGAAGTTCCCTCATTTATTACGAACTTTAAGTAGCAGTTGCTTTGAATATCTCTAATTCATTCACGTTTGTTTTTTTTTTGCCGTGTCTAAATAGCATACAAAATGCCGTAATTGTTTGCATTTAAAGTTACTTCAGTACATGTAATCGTCTCAAATTGTAGTTGAAAAAGTATGGTTTAATTGAAAAGTTCAACAACGATAAAATGAATGGCTTTTAATTTTGATAAATTCACAATATAAAGTAAATAATGCGGCAATTTATATAATTTCAAATTAAATCGATAAATTTCGTATTTTTTTCTCGTTATTGATTTTGCACAATTGTCAAAAAAGCTTTAATAATCATTTTACTCATTTTGAATACAAAGAACATATATTTTTTATTTTCGGGTTTAACTTTTATTGCTTAATATGCTAAATATTCAGACTTTATGATAAAGAATTTATTTGTTACGTATATACGTATTTATCACCCTTATAAAAGCATTAACAATCTGTTAGGCCCTAACAAATTCAATACACATGAATAAAGTACAAATGTACATTTAATTAAATGCGAGATAAGAAAGAAAAAAAAACAGAGCATACATGATTATAACATTTTCTGTAAAACAGCTACGTCTGAATTCTAATTACTGTCAAACTTGTTTTAAAGGCCATCTCCGGATATAGATCACCATATAAATAAAGATCACTCTTCGATAAAACTTTAATAGAACAGAATAACCTCCTAATTAAGATCAATTTTACGTAAAGACTATGTAAAGTATCTCCTTTGTATGATCTTTATTCATAGATGTGACTGTAACAACCACGGATATCTACAATGACTATACTATAAAGTTTCATATCTCTGTAAAAATATCACTTATTTTTTAATATTGGTTAAAAAGGGAAGAAAAAAAGAGAAATTGTAAGTAAATACATTTTAGATTTGTTATACAAATATAAATCTTAGTATAATTCTGCAAAATACTGCACAATGACTAAGTGTTAAGGCTTGAGCACCCATTGATATGTCACAAAACAACAACAACAAATAAGTCATTAAAATGGCGTCCAAACTATGCACAGTTTGTATCAAAGATAGGGATTTCTGGTTCCCTCCATCTTCTTTTCAGTTGGCCTTGTCTTGCAGGAATGTTTTATGCTTCCATCTGGGGTCCACATACACTTCTTGCAGTCTTCAAACAATTCCATTTTTGCCCACGAGTGCCGGC